TGAAGATTCCCATGGCAAATAGTTTCAAGCGTAATTGAGAACTAAATGCGATTATTAGTATTTCCTAAGAAAGGTTTAAAAATTGAAAACCACGCGTTAGCCGCGGAATAAATGAAGAATGAATGAATCAAAGAAGAAGGAGAGTCACAGTGGAAGTTCAAGAGTGTCTCTGAGAAGATGGAGGATGGTTGGAAGAGAAGATGGAGGATGGTTGGAAAGTTTTCACTGTATTGGGTATTCGAAGTGAAAAGGTGATGGATAACACCCGGATGATATCTGAGCTCAAACAGATTGATCGGAAGTCATTTTTTCAATTGAACAGCTGTAATACTCATTCAATCCAGGCTTGAGAAGATCAGAGGAAGCCAGCCATCTCATACTCTAAGGGTTCAAGACGAGAAGTTGCTGCTGGAACAGTCGTAGGAATGATTAAAGGAATAGACATTAGGTTTTGTAAGAAAAGGAGACTAATATGGTAAAGGGAACATAAATTCAAACGGCTCCGCCTTTGGATGACGCAGTTTTCCGTTCTGAAAATAGTTAGTAGTTTTTCCCGGAATCGGAACCCATATGGTTTAGAAAACTGATTTTTTCATGAGGCTGAACTTTTATCTCTTTGTGGGAACATAGGATTGTCGTTGGTTCACGGAGTAGAAAGAGGGCTGACGTGGGTCGTACTACATAGTGCTACTACTGCAACTGCAGCTGACTGCTACTCTTACCATTAGTAGCTCACAAATTCCGTTGATGTTGGTCACTGCGAAGGTCACTTATTCTCTCCACTTCTTTAAATGGAAGCTAACAGGAAGTAAAAGAATATAAGAGATGCTTCGAAATTGGCCAACCAAAAACCTTCTCACGGTGGGGTTTGGCAGTGACTATTCGAAGGGGATAGGATTTTATGCAGACCTCACAGAGCGCGTGTCACATGGGAAAATGGTGGAAGTTGTTTTCTAGAAGGCTAGGGGAGGAGACATTCATATGTTGTTTACTGGAATGAAATCGATTTGGACATGCAGAAACATAAACACCCGTGCTCGTTGGTCTATGATTCCTCGCGTTCTGATCATGGGACTCTTGCAGACCTCTTTTAGATAATTTCTGCAATGAGATGGGTGGGGCTCTCATTCACAGGTTCTTGGAATATACAAAATCCGCTTATAACACCAAAACAGGAGCATCAGTGGTTCATTTGGGATCTGAGGAAGAGAAGGATTCTATCCAGCCACTTCAGCACTAATCAGTGTTTTTCACTAACGGTATCACGTGGTATGAGTGAAAACAACTATCTTAAGCGATCCCCGTTTCTCTCCCTGTGAATAGCAAGGGAGGTCTGGGGAGGGCACCACACTCATCAGGAGGTTTAGTAACCACCCATAATAAATCACAGTAGACATGTTCAAGGTCGCTAAAATTTTCAATGTTTGATCCCTATCCTCTTCATAACTTGGTCGAGGTTCTTTCTGGAGAGCAAAGAGCAATCTATCTAGGTGGACCCCTATCCCACTCCTCTTCTCCTTAAACCGATGAGAGACGGAAAAAGCGG